ATACAACGTGGCAAATTCAGAATCACCTCTAAGTCCACTAAGAAGTTTCTGAGCCAAACTGCCTCTTTCGCTGCCTCTGAGGCTGCTATGTACTCGACTTTCATGGTGGAGTCTGCCACGCATTTCTGCTTAGCACTCCTCCATGAAATGACTCCACCTCCCAAGGTGAACACATAACCTGAGGTTGAATTACTTTTGTCCCTATCTGACTGGAAATCAGAATCACTGTAACACAGAGGTAACAAGCTGTCTGCATGGTAAACTAAAATGTACTCCTTAGTCTTTTTCAAGTACTTGAGTAAATGCTTCACCTCAGACCAATGTTCCCTTCCTGGATTACTTTGATATCTAGCTACTAAGCCAACGGTGTAGCTAATATCCGGCCTAGTACACAATATTGCATACATAAGACTTCCTATTGCCGATGCATAAGGAACTGTATTCATATCCTCTATCTCTTGAGATGTCTTGGGAGACATCTTCTTAGAGAGAGGGATTTTTTTCTTGAAAGGTAAAGTACATTTCTTAAAATCCTGCATGTTGAACCTAGCCAAGACAATATCTATGTATGAAGATTGGGATAAGCACATCATTCTATTCTTACGGTCTCGAAAGACCCTAATACCAAGAATGTGTCTGACTTCTCCTAAGTCCTTCATATCAAATTGCTTAGACAACCACACCTTTACGTCTGACAACTCCTTCTTACTGTTTTCAAAAAGAAGTATGTCATCTACGTACAGCACAAGAAACACCACCACGGTCCCATTGATTTTTTTGTACACGTAGTGCTCATACGGACATTGGGTGAACCCGTACGGCTGGATCACCTCATCGAATTAGATGTTCCAAGATCTCGAAGCTTGCTTCAGTCCATATATAGACCGATTAAGCTTACTCACTAGATGCTCACGTACTTTAGAAATAAATCCCTTCGGTTACTGCATATAGATGTCTTCCTGAAGGTTCCCATTAAGAAAAGCCGTCTTGACATCTATTTGCCAGACCTTGTAATCCATATGAGCGGCTACAACCAAGAGAATCTGAATGGACTTAAGCATAGCTACTGGCGAAAAAGTCTCATCATAGACTATACCCTGAATCTGGGTATAACCTTTCGCAACAAGTCTAGCTTTGAAGGTTTGAACCTCCCCATCTGATCCGCTCTTTCTCTTATAGATCCACTTACATCCAATGGGTCATACCCCATCGGGTGGTTCTACAAGATCCTAGACCTGATTAGAGTCCATTGACCCCATTTCAACATTCATTGCAACATTTCATGAATCTGCATCTTTATCTTGGAGTGCCTCGTTGTAGGTCCTTGGGTCCGATTCTAGGTTTCCTGGAAGCAAGCCCAAAGACTCTCTAAGTCCTATCCATTGGTCGGGTAACTGAGAAACCCTCCTACTACGACGAGGTACTTTCTGCGCTGGTACACTCTCAGAATGCCATGTTGCAGTATTATATGATGTATCTACTTGTGCACTCAGTGGGAACTACGTCTTCACCCCCTAACTCCTCTAAGACTAGTCTACTTGTGGGCTTGTAATTCATAATATAGTCTTCTTTCAGGAATCTAGCGTTTGTGCTAACGATTACCTTCCGATCCTCGGGACTACAAAATAATCCACCTTTCGTTCCCTTGGGAAAGCCTACAAACACTCGTGCTTCCGAACATTTCTCCAACTTCCTAGCTTCCTGCACTAACACGTGTGCAGGACTACCCCATACTCGAAACTGTGAGAAACTGGGATTGCGTCCTTTTCACATCTCATAAGGAGTAGTTTCAACCGAATGTGAAGGAACCATGTTCTGAATATACGATGTTGTTTCCAAAGCTAAACCCCATAACGAATCTGGTAACCTTGAATAGCTCATCATCGACTTAACCATTTCCATAAGAGTCCTATTTGTTCGCTCTGCAACCCCGTTCTGCTGGGGCGTGCCGGGTGCAGTCAATTGGGAGTCAATCCCGGCTTCTGATAAGTATGTTCTGAACTCTCCAGAGAGGTATTCGCCACCTCTCAGATTGAAGCAATTTGATACTTTTAGCATGAAGCTTCTCCACAACTTCCCGATACTCTTTGAATTTCTCAAAGCATTCGGACTTGCGGTGCAACAGATAAATGTTCCCAAATCTCAAGTAATCAACAATAAAAGAGAAAAAGTACTCAAAACCTCCTCTAGATTGGATCGACATAGGACCACACAAATCAGAATGAATCAATCCTAGCACTTCTTGGCTTCTGTGCCCCTTTGTCGAAAACAACCTCTTGGCCATCTTACCTTCTAGGCATGGTTCGCAAGTTGGATAGTGCTCTTCCAATGGACTAAGGAATCCACTGGCCATTAACTTTTGAATCCTCCAAAGGTTGATGTGTCCAAGTCTAAGGTGCCAAAAAAATTCTTGATTCATCTGCAAAGTCTTCTTCATCTTATTAGATTTAGTCGTGATATTATTCAATTCAGATTGTTGAATTGTGGGAGAGTTTGGTTTAAGAACATATAAATTGCCAACTAATTTGTAAGTTCTGAAGATTGACAGTAAATCGATGAACCTTCTTGAGTTCCCAGGATTCAGAAGATCGCAAGAATATTTCAGGAAGTTTGAATTAAAGTCGTTAAAATTTTTTTTTAATTAGAGTTGATTACTGATAATACACGTTTATCCCCTTTATGAATTCCTGGGCTACGAGTCTGTTTGGCAGGACTATGGGAATAAAACTCGACATTTACCTTCCATAATCACGAGAGAGAGATTGCGGCCTTGCGCAACAAAGGAGTTACCTTATGTGCATCTTTACTTGGAGGGAATGTTAAAGGGGAGACTTACCATACGCAACTTGCATATAAAAGGAGGACGAAAATGTTGAGGACGACTTTTGCATCTTTGATGATTTCATTTTTATTTTATGAGTGAAGTGATATAATGTTGGGAAAAATAAAATAGGATAAAATGGGCTAGATAACAAGAACCGCCTAGATCACTTTCAAAACTCCACGTACATAATAATATTTTTCAAGTAAGAACCAATGCAAGTTCTAGTATCCCAAGTATTCGACTAATCACACAAGAAATAAAATAAGGCATATAAATAATTGATTCAAATCATATAAGTTGTTCATCAAGGCATATAATCCATGATCACCATCACAATATCTTAATTACAATAAGCAACTCTAAACAATTATTGTCTTTTCACCAATCATCCGAAACACACACAAGACAAAGAAATAAATATCCGACTCAACCAAATTATTGCTAATCTAAAAAGCAAGTAAACGTGCATCCTAGAAATAAAAATAACCTAAAAAAGGTCATAAAAATAAAAACAAATGCAAGCAACTAAATGATATTAAATAATGCGATAAAAACTCAAGATATACGACACTTTTCTCCCCCAAACTATGTTTAGAAAAAAAGAAGCGGCATATCTCAAGTAACTAATCGAAAAGTCGAGCGCGTTCCACCGTAAGCAATCCTTGCACCCTTGAGCACGATCATCTCCTCTAAACTTCACTCGAACACTCGATCACCACTATTTTTTTTCTACTCTTTTTTTCCTTTTTTTTCAGATTTTTATTAAAAATAAAAAAATAAATTAAATTAAAAAAAAACGATAAACAATGAGTTGCCTCCCAACAAATGCTTAATTTAACATGTTTAGCTAGACATCTTCCGAAATCTCAATAAAGATCATTTCCGTTCATCCCAATCACCTCTTTCATCTTCATTTGATGTCAGCTACCGTCTTTTGCCTCTTGAATTTTTCAACCCCCGGAAAGTGTAAAAGTCCGACATTCATCATAGGCTCAAAACGTGATATCACCAAGCTCCATGTCAATAAGTACCCTTCCGGTGGCCAGGAATGACCTTCCTAAAATCAACGGTGTATCACCGTTATCCTTCATATCTACCACCACAAAATCTGCCGGAAACTTAATTCCATCGACCGCAAACCAAACATCCTCTACAGTTCCCGTGGGACGAACTTGAGATTTATCCACCGTCTGAAGAGTGATAATAGTCGATTGAAGCTTCTCTAATCTCAACTCGTTAAAAACCGAGAGTGGCATCAAGTTGACGTCCGCCCCTAAGTCGCATAGCCCTTTTCCGGTATATATTTCTCCAAATGAACAAATGATATAAAATCAACCGAATCCTCGCACGTAACAGGACGATCTCTTTGAAGTATTGTGCTACTCTCCTCCGTCAGTTCAACCACCTCATGAGCCTTAACCAACCTCTCCATCTTCTCGTCTGAGCTTTCGGATTTAGTTTTTGAAAAAGCTATTTAATACTTTTTATAATAAAAATCATTAAAGTGAAAGATAGTTTGTTATTTTGGAGTATTATTCTTCAATATATTCTTTTTGGAAAAGTCAAAATAGTAAGGGCATTATTTAATAATAATAAGGGCGGCCCAAGGCCTAATAATTTTCCAGACCGGTTCTGCTATGTGTGTGTTTATATTTTACTATCGATTTAAAAAAAAAATCACCAAACCATCAAAACAAAACTTGTACTAATACATTTATATATTTGTGCTTTGGGTATACTATTAAAACAATTAATAAATATCTTCAAAAATCTCTAGATCAAATTCTAAATTCAATCAATATAATTGGTTTAAATCTCCTCAAATTTTTTAATGAACTAATTAATTTTAGTTTTATTTAATAAACTAAGCCTAATAATAATTGCAAAAATTGGCCAAAATATTTGGCGGAAAAACTTGTGACAAATATAGTAAAATGAATTAGTCCATTATATATATATATATATTAATAGATTACTATAAATCATATGTACTAATTATTTTTTAGGTCAATCTACAAACTTTATCTTTTAATTTATCAAAGTTACCATATGGTTATTCAAAATAAATAAATAAATATTTGTGAAACCCTTTTTCCTTGGCCTCCAAGGAACTCAGCTTCGGGTCGCTTGCGCCATTTCTCCTGACCACTTTCAGTCAGCTCTCTCGCCAGCGGCCATGGCTACGACCGTGCTCTCCAAGCGCATCCCACCGATCCTCAGCTCCTCGCCCCTTTTCCACACAAATTACCTCACTTTCCTCACCACGGCCTCCTCCTCCTCCACCCCAATTTCTCTCATCGGACCACCGGAAATCTACACACTACCGGCCGCCGCCGCTCCCTCCGCCCCTCCGTCCGCCACCGCCTCGAATGAAAATCCATTCATGGACCAGATGGTGGCTAATTACAACAATTTTGGGCTGTCCCCGCCGATGGGCCTGACGGAGAATCACTCGCCGACGTTCCTCTCCTCCGGCAACCCCTGTCTCGATTTCTTCTTCCATGTTGTCCCGAACACGCCTCCGGAACCCCTCGTCCGCCGCCTGGAACTTGCCTGGAAGCACGACCCGTTAACAGCGTTGAAACTCATCTGCAATCTCCGAGGGGTGAAAGGCACCGGCAAATCCAACCGGCAGGGCTTCTACACAGCCGCCCTGTGGCTGCACGAGAACCACCCAAAAACCCTAGCTGGAAACTTGGACGCCTTCGCAGGCTTCGGTTACGGCAAAGACCCGCTGGAGATACTTTACCTGCTTCTCGAAGGTCCAGATGCTCGACAAGCTGCGTTAAGTGCAAAATTGGATCACGAGATGTGGAAAAAGAGGAACGAGGGGCGGAAATCAAGGGGAAAAGAATGTAAGGTGGCCCGTCGCGGTTATTACGGAAGGAAATTGATCCAGCTAGAGCCAGAGCCAAGATTGAGCCATGAAGAGAAGAGAATCTTGAAGGCAAAAAGGGTTGTCGAGAGGTTTAATACCGACCCCGATTACAGATTCCTGCACGAACGAGTTTCCGATTATTTCGCTCGGAACCTGAGATCGGATATGGATTTGCTGAACAAAGGGGAGATGTGCAAAATCAGCCTTGCTGCAAAATGGTGTCCCACATTGTACTCCTCGTACGACAATGCCACACTCTTGTGTGAAACGATTGGTAAGAAGGTTTTCCCGAGGGACGAGTATCCCGAATATGAAGGAGTTGAGGAGGCACACTATGCGTATCGTGTTAGGGACCGTCTAACAAAGGAGATTCTTGTGCCCCTGCGTAAAACCCTGCAACTTCCCGAAGTTTACATGAGCGCCAACAATTGGGCTTCCCTTCCGTACAACAGGGTTGCTTCGGTTGCCATGAAAACGTACAAAAGCTTGTTCTTCAAACACGATGAGGAAAGGTTTCATGAGTATCTGGATAAGGTTGAGAAAGGGGAAGCCAAGATTGCAGCTGGGGCCTTGCTTCCGCACGAGATAATTGCTGCCCTGGACGATGGCTCGGACGATGGTTGCCAGGTGGCGGAGCTTCAGTGGAGGAGGATGGTTGATGACATGGCTGAGTCAGGGACGATGAATAACTGCTTAGCTGTCTGTGATGTGTCGGGGAGTATGCACGGGACTCCGATGGATGTGTCAATTGCGCTTGGGGTTTTGGTCTCGGAATTGAGTGAGGAGCCGTGGAAAGGGAAGGTCATCACGTTCAGTGCGAATCCAGTGCTTCAAACGGTCAGCGGTGATAGCTTGAAGGAGAAAACAGAGTTTGTGAGGGAGATGGATTGGGGTTATAATACCGATTTTCAGAAGGTGTTTGATGTTCTTCTTCGTGTGGCGGTTGATGGGAAGTTGAAACCGGGTCAGATGATTAAGAGACTGTTTGTTTTCAGTGATATGGAGTTTGACAAGGCATCCGAAAGGCCTTGGGAAACGGATTATAAGGTGATCGTGAGGAAGTTTGAGGAGAATGGGTACGGAGATTTTGTGCCGGAGATTGTGTTTTGGAATCTGAGGGAGTCGCTGGCCATCCCTGTGCCGGCCGGCCAGCGAGGAGTGGCGCTCGTGAGCGGGTTTTCGAAGAATCTTATGAAGCTGTTTATGAAGGAAGGTGGAGATTTCAATCCTGTGGAGATTATGGAGGCTGCGATTTCCGGTGAGGAGTATCGGGAACTTCAAGTGTTGGATTGATCTGAAAAACTCAAATGCTGTCACAATTTGTTGCAACTACATTGCTAACAAAGGCCTGTTTGTGTGAATAATGAATTTAAAAAAA